CACACACACACACACACACACACACACACACACACTGCATAAGCACTCCGATTCATTTTCCACAGATGAAAGTTTATCAGCAGCTGCAGGTCGAACTACGGTGAGACGAGTGGAACATGGGAACCAGCTACTGTAAGTTTTCATCAAGACACAAGAGAACCCTGTTTGTCCAGAATCAATATCCTGTGTATCACTGTCCAACAGAGCCTGTGCCCCTGTTTAAACAAACCGTCCGGTCCTGAAAACACACTGACCAGGCAGCCCTGTGTGGGAGCTCATGCTGTACTGTAAGTAATGTGGAGTCGCTCTTTAGCCTATAAATCACGTGAAAGACTTTATCTTCAGCTGTTTGTGCCACTGTTCACGTCTAAGTATAGAAAGGCCAAACAGTCTCTATCCTTTAAGGGATCACTACAGAGCAACTGTGGCCAGTTCTCACACACCCTTCTTCATTGTTGGTGGAGTAAAAACAGGGCGAGCTGTTTTCATCTGTCTGTCATTTGCTCTCTCCTCTCCACACTCTGCTATCACCGCTTTCTTTTTTGTTACTTTTCCCATACGGCCTGAACTCAAATAAGCGTGCATGGCTTTTTATTCATGCTCATATTTCCCAGCTGGGACAGAAATAGGTGTTTTCCCTCCTTCCTGGTGGTGCGCATGCAGGATCTGCTGGGCAGATTTGAGGAGATGGCAGCCTCGCAGTGTTTTCTCATGGCAGGGTGCGGTCGGTTTCTCTGCCTAGCTCGAGCTCAGCAGCTCCTGAGACAGACCCAGAGCACCTTGGCCACCCGTACTCGGTTCTGCCCACATGCACACACTCCCCACCGCAGGATCAAGGTCCAAGGCAGCCAGATGACGGGGGTGCAGGGTTCAGTCTGAGACTGAGGGAAACTTGGTGCCCTCAGCCAACGAGGTCCATAAGTCCTCCTCAGGATCAAAAGGGCTGCGCAGCCAAGCACAGCAAATTACACAGACTGGGCTGGAAGGTACCTGACCACACTGAACACACACACACACACACACACACACACACACACACACACAGGCGCACAAAACAACACTTCCACTGCCACTTTCACTCAACATCCTTCTATATACAGCAGACTGCATCCTGGTACCGTTTAATGGCCGAAGAAAAAATGCATAGTATAAGAGTGCAGTAACCAAAAACCTGCACGGGCAAAGTGTTAGTGTGTGTGTGTGTGTGTGTGTGTGTGTGTGTTTGCACGCGCGCACACACACACACACACACACACACACACACACACACACACACACACACACACACACACACACACACACACACACACACACACACACACTAAGTACACTTTCTCTCTGGCATGATTACTGAAACCACAGAGTGAAAGTCAGGTTGTAGGATAAGGAAAATTCACACCGGGGTTATGAAAGACAATACGACAATAATTGCAAAGTAAGTGTGGGGTCTTGCCCGGAGAGCTAGAGTCAACAACCACCCACAGAATGTTTAAGACACAGTAATCTCCAAAAATATCCTGGAATTACTGAAGGAAATATCATACAAAAGGTCCAAATTAGGTCCGCACCTAATATTTAAAGGCTCGGGCTGGTCTACACAACAAAACCAATCAAAACACACTGTGGGTTTGGCCTAAAAATAGCTCAACAAATCATAGGTGTATAAACATCCAGTAGGAGGGGACTTATTATATAGACAATCTAACCACACGGAGCCGACAGGGTCGAGTGTTTTGCACAGTTCACATCATGCAGAGAAAACAGTCCCTCTGAGAAATGTGTGCTTTTGTATATTTTGTATATTTTACAGGGAGATGAATGCATTAGAGAAGTACACCTCTAACAACAACACGCATTTACACAGCGCTGTCTTGAACATATTAGAGTGATTGACACAAACTCAGTCGGTGGCGAGCTGTGCACTTGAAGGCGGTTAAATAAAGTGGGAACTCCTGGCTCCTTTCTTCCTGTGCCGCGGCAGCACTTCAATCTCCTAAACATCTGTGATAAGGCTCAACTGGGCCATCTGCTCAGAGATAGCACAGGCAATAACACTCCTGCTGATCCTGCTGGCCCCGATATTAGACATGTACTCCATACAAACACAGCGCCTGCCGCCTTACTTATTACACTTCCCTCCTCTATCTGCTCGTGTCCCAGCACCTGCGAGAACTTTTGTGTACAATGTCTGAAGCAGTCATCTAAATGTTCTGAGATAAGGTGTTTCTGGCAGACACTCTGGTCATATTTGGTGAAAAGATCTGGAAACCCAACCCCCCCCATCATACCCATATGACATATATGTCCCTTTATCAACAGTGATGCTGCCATATGCGTCACCCATGAGGAGATATTATCACATATATACATCTTCTGGATATATGAAGATATAAGTTTATAACATATATGCGATACCCATAGTAAAATTTAATATGGTATAACATGTTATGACCATTTATGTTAACAATATATATATCTAATTTATAAATAAAGTTTATTAAAAACAATATACATATAAAAAATTACATATGTTTATACATGTTTTTCTTATTCATCTTATTCATGTGGGAAAGTTGTGTCAGACCTTTGGACCCCACTGTATATATTATAAACATACTGTTTATAGACAGGCTTTGGTATGGATATATATTTACATAACATCTACAATATACGCCCACATAAACATATTGTATGGGCTCGACTTGTATGTCAATATACAAAATTGTTCCATATTCTAACAGGTTTTATGTATAATTTTTTACATATAAGTTTTTATTTTATATGTACATGTATTTCATATATAGAAATGTATGCACTGTACATATATTACATTTGCATGTAACTATGGTTGGACTCCGTTCTCTCCAATAGAAAGACAGTGTGAGAAGATGAGCTTGTTGCTGTGGGAATGGGCGCACAGTGTCAAACACTTCATCCATGTACAGACACAACTCAGCTGTGTTTGTGTAGCCGAGAGATTCAGAACAACTACAGTGACTGGAGGTATGTATTATAGGTGTCTGGTTGACCTGCCCCCCCCCCCACATATGTTAGCCTTGCAGCCGAGGGTCGGTGCAACCTGTGCCTGCTGTGCTCACATTATCTGCTACAGCGCACACTGTCTAAACAGCACTGACTAGAAAGAGCTAAGCCTGGTTCCATTACAACAGAACCTCCCACCTAGCTTGGAATGAACAGTCCCTGCTGCACAGTGTATGTGTAAGCCTGTTCATAAACTCCGAGCGGTCAGACATACTGCATGACAGCTCCAGCCACAAAACTCTTCTCCTCAGTCAAAGTCTTTTCCTCCTGCGACCACATGAAGGGGCAGAGCGGGAGTGGAACACATGATGTAGGACTAATCCCTGCCATGTACAACAGCCCCACCGCAGGCGCCTAACACGTGCATCTGCACAGCCGAGACTGGAGGCAGGCTTCACTGAAGCACTGGCACATAATGCCGGTCATGTGCCACTCAACCCACTCAGTGGGGGGTGGCTCTGGGTGGCGAGTGTGTCTTTGTGCATTAGTGTGTTTGGCCAGGTGGAAAAAAGTATGTAAAAAATGTATATTGTGGTTCTGTCAGTGCAGGGATGGGATCATTTTGGATCTTGTTCCAAATTGGTAAAATACTTTATGATTTGTTGATCTCTGGTTTAGATGCAACACTGAGGGAAATAATAACGGTGCATATTCAACTCATTCTCTACCAAACAAACTGATTTGATAAGGGATCTGAAAAGATTTAGATTTAACAAACAAACTGAAACTGGAGTCAGATTTGATTAAATGCTATCGAACCCATTTCCTAGTAAATAGACAAGAATTAACCCCGTTTGGAGGTGATAAATATTCCACAGGAAAGTGGGTAACAAAATATTTGCCATGCTCCTCTGTAATGATGAATGATATGCAAAAAAACAAAAGATATTGCGAGGATTTAAGCAGATACTGCGATTGTGATACGAGTCACAATTTCAGTTGGAATGGTCATTTTTGCATTTCATTTTCACTGAAAAACAATGGAAAAATAATGATGAGGCGAGCGTAGCACACACAAGCAAAAGGGAGACTATGCAGAACACAGAAAGGCCAACACCACTTGGTACATTACAAACCACAGCCGTCTTGATATTCTTCTTTTTCCTTTGACTTAATTTATGTACTTATGTACCACAAACTACTCAAATGGATCTTTCTGAAAACCCTGAGTATGACTTTATAGTAAGAAAGTGACTGCTGTCTGTAAAGTGATGTACACATAAAAGCAGCCATAGGAAGGCAGAATTTCTAGTACAGAGCACTTATCCAAAGCAGAAACTACAACATTTAATTAACATTTAATGAGCTGGGTTGGGTCTTTCCCTCCTGATGGGAACTGCACTTCTTTGAGCTCAAATACTCAAATATGCACATTTTCTCCCTGGAGGAGTCTTTCATATGAAATGATCAGTGAATGCTTAGAAAAACCATATGTAATCGTGGCTATAATTATCACTGGGGTAGAGAGAGAAAACATACATGCAAATGTGCTCCAGTTGACATTAAAATCACTAACCACTGTGTGTAAATATAAAACCATATCTATCTATAGGAGGTTACATCTGGAAAACAACATGCTCGACCTTAATTTTCTCACTCTGATCACTTATCAAATGTTATATTGGGTTTGGTAAACTACAGTGATAAAAGTGTTACATGGTTTGTGAAAATACTGTTACCTGAAACTTTTAGTTGAGTCATATGCAGTGGATAGAGATTCACTGACATGCAGTGGATAGAATCACACAGCAAAGGTACAGCAGACTACAATGATCTCTGTCCTGCAGAAACCTGCAGCTGATGGCTGAGAGGAGGTGTGATTATTAATAAACTCACTATGAATTAATGCTCTCGTTATTCATTCTCTTAGTCGGTGATACTTACCGTGGCGTGTGTGTAATAACACCAATAATAGTGGCTATTGCTATGAATGAATACTCTAAATGAGATGCACTCACTGGTTTTGTGCGAGACAGCCGGGGGCCAGCGTGTTCTGGGAGTGAGGGGTGCGCTGCAGACTGGTGAGCTCCAGCATATCCACCTGTACGTCTGTCACATGACCAGGTAAAGGTTTGAGGACGGTCAGAATCTTCTCTGCCAGGTTGTCACCATGGTGACCAACAGCTCCTGGAAATCAAGACATGGGGAATTTAAAAGATAAATCTATTCAGACTGTGACATCAACTGTTGGTGAAATATCATAACCAATATGTTCAATCTGAGAATATTCTTCTATTTGTCAGTTTAGCTATGATTACTATAAAGTCCAGACAGGGTTTTGATTTTGATGTGTTTACAAGCATGTATAATGATGTGACACAATATAGTCCAAAGGTTAGGGAGATTTCACCTGTAAGATCCATTGTTCGGTCCACAAAGATGATGGATGCTTTATTAGGGGCTGTTTTCCTTCGATTCTTTGCTTGAGGGTGATTGGCCAGTTCCCCAGCTATGATGCGGCTCATGGGGCCTACAGCAAAGCTCTCTTCCCTGGTACCTGTAGCTTCAAACATTGCGTTTAATGCTGAAGTCAAGGATCTGATTTCGATCTGCAGTTCAGCAGGAACAGAGTGCACGTCTATATCTATCAGGCTTCCAAATCTCTTCTTCTCTGGTCGTTTTGCGTTTAGTGTCTCCAGGTCAGGTGAGAGCAGGGGAAACAGGTGGGCATACGTAGGTGTGAGAAGTAACTGCTGTGACACAGGGGCGAAGACCAGGGGAACGTGCATGACTTCAGCCGTGTAGTTCATGTTTCCCATCCACTCGCATAGCTTTTCTTCGAACTGCTCGAACACAGGGTTTCCTTCCATCTCTGCCGTGACATTATTGGCGAGCAGGTGCACGGAGTGGGCAACAGTAGTGAAGACAACACAGTACTGGAAGTGACTGAGGGATATGATGTCTTTAATGATGTCCACTGTTCTCCCCTTCAGCAAAGTGCTCACCACGAACACGGCTTTCGGCTCGTTCGCGCCGCAGGCTTCGAAGCTCGAAAACTGCTTTAAATTTCTGGCTCCTGCCTCCAACAAGGCGGCGGTACCCCCGTTCCAGTGGAGAGCCTCTGCACACTTGTCATCCATAAAGACGACAGCTTTCTTCACCTTCGACAGCACCTTCTCCCACATCTGGAGCGGGAAGCGCGTAAAGTCCTCCGCCGTCAGCATTTCGGCAATTATCGGTGTTAGCTAAATGCAGTGAAAATCAAAGAAACATCAGAAACATCAGCTACAATAAAGTAGCTCCAACAAAACAAACACACGAGTCTCCTAAAGGTGACGTGGCGCTCCCCACGTCGCGGCTGAAACACGTCACCGAAGCGTTTTCTAGTTGCCATGGCAATAAGCAGCCTTCAGCATGAACCGCTGAAAGTGCTGAAGAAGTACTAAAGTTACAGTTATCGATAAAAAATTATTTTGAATTTAAGATTATTACCGAGTCTCTGGAGTTTACCACCATTATATTTTCGAAAAGAAAAGAATGAATTCAAGGTAGAGTCAATTCTTAAAAACATGTAAGTATAATATATACAGTATATATCAAACATATTTGATATCAGCGGTTAAGCTAGTTGCGGTTGATCAAACTTGCGTCACGCGACTAGCGCTGTCACTTCAGTCTAATCTCCATATAAACCGTTTGACGACGACATTTTAAAGTACTGGTTTATATTTGTGTTGAAATTACTTTGTCTATTTTGAAATGTCTCCGGAGTCTGACCCCAAAGTTGTCGACGATATAAGAAAAAATATATATCAAGTATATGTTTAAACAGACCAACCGCTGTATGATGACGTTTGTTCCCTCCATTTTGACCGGTAATCATAGCTGGCAGCCGGTATACAGGCAGTTGGCAGTTTATTAGGTACACCTAGCTAAAACTGAGGCAGGCTAATACTGTAATCTTGCAATAAATCATATCTTCGTGACGGTTATAATGTTCAGTTCGTGCTTCAGAGAGGACTTGATTCTTAAACTTCATGGTCATTTTGGAGGCTGCAGTTTGTAGTGCTGTTGAATTGTACTGCGTTATACAGACAGGTGTTTCTATTATTTTGTCCACCCGATTTATATCAGTGAGTGCAGGCTAAATAACAGAAACACCTCTCATCACAGACTGCATCCTCCAGAAATGATGATACGATTGAATCAACACCTCTACAAAAACTTAGAATTAAAAAACTGAATATTATAGCTGTCATGAAGAGAGGATTTATTAAAGGACTGATGTATTAGACTGCATTAGTTTTAGCGAGATGTACTGTACCTAATAAACTGCCACCTGTGGTGTAGTTGACTGTAATTGCCACAGGTAAGGCTGGAGAATGTAGCACACCATACCATAGTTAAATGTTCAAATTAAATGTTCAGATTTGCATTTGCCCTGTGGCTGTGGTGTGTGTTTCTTTCAGTGATTTATAACATGTACACCACAGTTAGCTAGGAGAGAGAGGAAAAAGAAAATGCTCAAATCCCATAATGTTATAGGAATACATTTGGGTATAACCCCTGTTTCCCCTCCCATAACCATGAGGAAATTGGGATGTGGTTGAGTACATGAGACTGTTATTACAGTTGTTTCACAAAACTCAGTTAATACCTCTCTCAGTTTGGTGTACAATATATTAAGATGTTGAGTTTGACGGGCCATTAATGACAGTGAGTGGTGAACAAAATCAGAATGAACTGTGGTGGCATGCTCGTTTCCAGTTAGAACCAACTGCATTGCAGTAATGAAGCATTCAGATATAATACACGTTTCACAGTACAATAATGACAGTGATCATTATAGCTGCACAATGTCACAGCACCCTGTGTGTCGCCTGAAATGTGCAGCCAGTCATGTGGAACATTAAGAAGTATTTTGATGCTCATTAAATCTGCTGCCAGGCAAGCAGTGTTTATTTGTGATCAGGGAATTGTGGATGTAAGCAATCACACAACTGGAGCACTGACGATATCTGTGATCTGCATTCTCTAGACTCTGTGCCTCAGAGTAAATGTAGCATAACCTGCCAATTACAGTAAGTTACTGTAACATACACAAGAGCTTCAACAATAGTCTTGGGGTTTTTTTGAGAGTTTAGTCTTTGCTGCAACTTAAATTGAATGTGCAAGTTAAAGAATAGCAGCCAAGTGTCTTTGTTGTTGGGTGATTTAAGACCCTGATGTCTGATGGTGAGAATCACCCACCACAAGAATCCAAACAAAGACGAACTGTTGTTGATAATTGTATTTGATGAATTAAGTTAATTTTAGTCAAGTCACAGACATTTCCAACAAAACATAGGTCATTACTATAATACAAAGGTATGCATCTTTTCACATGGTTTTATTGTGTTAGCCTTTGTGCTGTGCAGTAAATGGCTACGGAATTGATTTTTTTTTATAATAACACAGTGTCATTCTCTAAAGAACCAGCGAAAGTGGCACTTAATCTGTGACTGTTCTTCATAAGAGCAGTCTGAGTGAAGCACTCAACTAAAATAACTACGCTCATTGTTGAAATTTATCTCCAGTTCTCATTATGTGTGTTGTGTGTATTATTGTGTGTTTTTGTCATATGCATCTGCCAAATGAAAATTGTTTATTCTGACATGCAAGTGGACATTATTATTATTTTGAAGTGTTTCTTTTGTTTTATAGGGTAATTTGAAATCTGTCCAAGATGATGAAGACAGTGACAATGACATTGCTGATGAATACAATAAGTTTTGTGTAACCATGCAGCCGTGCATATGAGAGTGTAACTGTTTACGATCCATCTTCTGACAAAATAATGCTGAATTTTTCAGCCTTTTATTGTGTTTGTTTGCCTGTTGGGCATAATATGAATGTGCATTATTTGTCAGGAGCCTACTTCTGTCAAAATGTAGCTTTGAGATATTTTCATTGTTTTGTGGTGATATATTATTATTTTATGTGGAGGTGCCATTTGAAATGAGGTTATCAGCGTTGAAGCCAGACAGAAGTGTTTCTCAGCGTTCAGGTTAGTGTCATGATGATGCAGATACCCGTGTTGATAACACGCGTGCCTCTTGTTTTCTTGCAGCTCTGAGCATACACCTGTGTATATGAAAATGAATGCTTAAAGGAGGACACATGCAGTTGGTAAGTAAGTGCTCTGGAAAACCTTTTCAAGATGATGAGAAAGATGACACATAATGCAACACAAGCACAAAGACAGACTTAATATTTCTTAAGTGATTTATTAAAGAAAAACACTGATAAGCGTTCAGCCTTGAAACATGCAGTTCATTCTTTTTTTCTATTGTTAAAGAAAAAGCTAAGAAACATACATTTAACCTCCTCATAATACAGTCTATTTTAAATGTAGATCCTTCTTCAGACAGCCTGAGATTATCTGACCTTAAGAAGTCGCCTTTTGCACCTCCATCATTAGTTGACCTCTTCACTGAGAGCATTGCCTTCATTACTATATGTCGGTTCAGTTTAATAGTGTCTTTATGATAAGAAAATGTCCCTCTGCCTTATTAAAAATGAATATATAATCTTCCACAATGAAGTCCTTGGCAAATACATCTATCAGGATTGTGACCTCCTGTCAAATGTGTAACAGTTGTTACTACAAAGGGAATAGACATGGATTCATGGGACTATAGCCAAGGAATCCCAGTGCTGGATGTACAGGAAAAGCCATGGAGGAAAGCTGGTGAGTAGTAGTCTGTAAATGTTGGTGATTCTTTCTTCTGTGTTCTCCTAACTCATTCAGCTGCAACTGTGTAGTCACTGATCACATGCAGACTTGTTTGTTTACTATGCTGTGTTTTGGTTTTAGGTGCTGACATCTCAGATTACTTTAACTATGGTTTTGATGAGCAAAGCTGGAACGCCTACTGTAAGAAACAGGCAAAGCTCTTTGTAGCTAATAGAAAACTCTACACTAAAACCAGGGTAAGGCCAGATATTACTCATGTGATTAAGTCAGCTTTTTTAAATGCAAGAGAGAAAATATGAGTCATGATAGATACGAGAAACAGAAAAGAGTTATGAGTAGATTAAAAAGCAGAGGATTGAGAACTTGTTGTTTTTCCACTCAGGTCCAGAAGGGGCACACTACACATGGAGAAACACAGCCTCCTGCTTATTCCTCCTCATGCATACTGGCCTCCAGGTTGGTAACACAGTGTTTCCTACCTACTGTCATCGTCTGTGTCCTCACTGCTCTGCCCTACATGCCATTCTCCACTGTAGCTATGAGCTCCAAGAGCTGGAGAAGGTGGCAGCTGGGTGGTTTTGTTTGTTTGTGACACAACAACTTTCAGGCTGATGCCATCTGTTTTCTGTGATCCTAAGATGGGCTTAGTATTTTAGGGATGTACTGGCAAGGGATCCCAAAGTGTTGAAGTAAACATGGACTTGTGTTCATCTGTTACAGGCGAAAGTTAAATTTGATAGAAGGCATGTAAACACAGAGCACTGTGAAAGGATTTGTCCAAATAATTGATTTAGAGCTTAACAATAAACTAAACAGTTAATGTTTTTCCAGACTTTTTACACCCTCTTACTGTTTTAACATTTGTTCATTCAAGTTTATGCTGCCAACAATATTTCATCACAATCTATTTAATGCTAATTTACACATTTATTCTTCTACACTAGAGAGGGAAATATTCCATTATTAGATAGTAAGTTGTAGTTACTAGCTGTTAGTTGTAATCAGCTAATAGAATACGGTGTATTGTTATAGATTAAATTTAGCATCACCTAGAAAATACCACTTACATTTGATGTGTCATATAACAGAGGCCATTCTGCTGTCTTACTTTTGAGACTATGGTTTTCTACTTTTGTGCTGCAGCTTAAGGAAAACATCTGAATGCAGCACATCCACTAGTATTATTACTTTCACTTACGTCAGAGATCTCAGTAATTCCTCATTACAACCAAAACTACTGTATTGAATTCATTTTCATACATTTCATTTTTGGTATATTTCCTGTATATGTGTGTGAAGTGTGGGAATCAAGGGTCTGGGGATGGAGGTTGTTGAATGCTGCACAGATTGTAAAGTACCAGGAGGGGATATATATGAATTAAAACTGATTTGACTTGACTGTGAAACTAAAAATAACAGTAACATAGTTATATAAAAATCAGAGCCATCTCAACCTAAATGGGTCAGCACTGTGTTGTCAAACTGCTCTGTTTCCAGTCCCTTTAAATGATCAGGAAAGCTTTTTAAGGGAAGCTTTGAGCAGCAGAGCAGAAGCCTGTGGGAGGCAGG